AGTATTTTTTATGTTTGGTACTAAGTTTTAGAAGACCTTCCCAATACCTACATTAATCTGACTGAAAGTCAAATTTGCAGAAAGATGAATGGCAGGACAGCCATCAGATTTAAATTAAATGTTGCATAAGGTAAAAAGTGGAGCTGGGAGAGAGCATGGAAAGTCAATGTCAACTCAGTGATCAGTGTGTCTTTTTGCAGGTTGCCACATTTGAACAACGGGATACCTTAGGTCAGGGGTGTCAAACTCAAGGTCTACGGGCCACAGCTGGCCCACACGGTGCTTAAATCTGGCTAAGGGGCCAGCCTGGAAATAGCAAAGGACCAGACCGCAGTACCTCTGGCAGCTGAAATGGGGCACAGGGGGGGCTGCACATGGTCCCCCCGTGCCCCATTTTGGCCGGAGGATGCTGCAGGGAGGCCATCCAGGCTGAAAACAGATTGGCTGGATTGTCCTTCCATTTTGGCTGGAAGGGTGCTGCAGGAGGCATCAATTCCTTCTCCCCATCCTGGCTGGCCCATGGAGGAGAACTATGCTGATCCGGCCCTCGAAGAAATCCAGTTTGGCACCCCTGCCTTAGGATCTCTCACTGAAGAATATTATTTGATACTAGTAGAACAATTTAGTATTAAGGAGATATAGAGCCAGTTAAGAGACTTGGCCACCGTCTACAGGATGCCCATGATAGCAATCTACAGTTAATCCTATCTCAAAAGTTGCGCTGCAATTTCTCTTTAGAAATGAAAAAAAAAAAAGTATATTTAAAATGTGAGTATTTTAACAATGTTACAGTGGGGTTTTCTTATTGAGAATTCCAATCACTTGATGCTATTACCCTTTGCTAACTTCCATTGCCTTTAGCATTCCACTCCCACTGTGATGGTTTATTCTAAGGAGATTGTTGTTATTTTATTTTGCAGAGGGATCTCCAAGTATAGGTTTTTTTAAAAAAAAATTTTTTGAAAATCTCATGGCTTCCTCAAATTTGCTGACATTTCTGTCTTGCATAGGTGCTGCTGTTTGTCTACCTGAGCAGTGGCATTAAAAAAACCAACAACCTAATATTCAAATGTATAGAACTTAGATGTACGGAGAAAGGATATTAAATGTGACAGTTTTCAAATACCTGAGAGTGTTTTTATCAAGTAGCATTTGGATGAAATGGCTTACTCCCACTCCACACTCTATTGTTCCTTTATTATTATTAGTTCCTTTCTAGAAAATTAAGAGCTTTAATTCATCCACATTCCTTGAGATGCTAATGAGGCATGCTAATTTAGGGTGAGCAGCATCAGTGTGGATTTTTGATCAAACAGCTGTTAATTTTGCAAGGGAAGTTACTAAATCCGAAGGCTACAAGATATGGCTGTGTGTAGAAGATAACAATAAGAAGCAAGCAGATGGATCTGTGCAAACATTCTAAAAGAGCCCCGATTTCAGTTCACTGAAGTGGGAAAGAATAATTTGCATTTTTCAAAGGAATAGGGAAGACAGGGATTTAATTATACTAGAAAATGAGTTCCTGGTGAGAATGGGAGAAAGAAGGCCAAACTAATTTGAAATTTATTATCTGGCTTTTTCAGAGTTGCTTGTTGATTTCCATTTTTGTTATGCATATGGGTATGAGTGATCAATGTTTGAAGAAATAGTTTGTGGTTCCAATGTACAATGTATATGTATATGCACAATGTATTTGGTTTTTTCCTCTCTTCCCTTTAGAAGCCCAAATGCATCACATTTGGTATGCATTTGAAATGTCTTACTACCTGTAACTAATATTATAAATCTTAGCTGTATTTTCTACCTTTTAGTTTAACTTCAAATACCCTCACAAGCAAGCAGTTCAAACCTCTGGAAAGGGAAGTCACTATTTTTCCCCACTTGGCAATGGATTAGATGACAAGGAAAACAATGGAGAGTGTTGCCCCCCCCCTTTTTTTCTTTTAATACATTCATTCATGATTTTGCTCTGCCCGTGTGTGACATCAGGGGAGGGAGGGAGGGAGGGAGGGAGGGAGGGAGGAAGGAAGGAAGGAGGAAATTTTATCTTTCTTCACTAGAGCACAATTCACAAAATCAAGGATTTGTTATGTATTTTCGGGCTTATACACAAACAAATATGTGGTTCATGGTTATTATCTGCCACCCTCTCAATAGTCAGCACCAATTCAAGCAAAACTATGCAAGCCAGACAGTCTGGCAGAATATGTGAGGAAGATCTTGTGGTACAGCAATACCCATATCAGTGCTATTTTTGGAAAGTGCTCCTTCCAAAAGATGGCCTTTCATGTTATTGCTCAAATCATAACCAGGACTTAAACATTCCTTACAGATCCATCCATCCATCCATCCATCCATCCATCCATCCATCCATCCATCTCTAGAACCTGATAGAAAAATAAAGCAAAGTAAATCACATAAAAAATCAATAGAGTTCCAGCATCATACATAGTTTTCCACAGTGGCCCTGATCCTTATCAACCAATTTTAAACTGTATTTTTATTTCATTTATCAGAAATCTGATGTAACATATTACATCTAGGAAAAATACATAATATAGAATTTCACATAATTTAATTTCAGGATATATATCTCCAAAACATGTACGTAGATAAGACTTACCAAATTTGGAACCCTCTAGATAAATTCAGTTACAATTCTCATCATCTCCAAATAAGGTGGTCATTGGCTTATTGATTGGGGATGATGGAATTGTAATCTATTTCATCTAGTTGGTATGTGCATGAGAAAGACTAGTTGGCATGTGCATGAGAAAGAGAAAGATTTAAATTCCTCTCATTTATGCAAGAGATATCACCTGAGGAACACTTAATCTTCCTGTTCTAAATATTTGAGAACTTTCTTACACATTTCTTTAGAAACCCACATATACAATAACAAATCACAAAACACAGATCTCCTCAGTGTAATTGATCTAACAAAATCTATCTTGTTCTGCCAACTTCCCTTTGAATCCTTGATGAGAGTGCAAAACAGGCTATGGAAAGCTTGATTTCAAAATATATCTCATAATCATAAAGGTCACAATAGCCAAATGCAATTAAGCTTTCATGATATTTAAAGGTTTGCTCCCCTCAAGATACTAGTCTGAAAAGGGCAAAATGGCAATAGCAGGTAGAGACCTCCTTCAGGAGATAACTGGTATGGGCGAGTCAGTCATAAGTGATAACTGAAGAAAGTTAAATCCTCATATGGATCTTTGCTGCCATCAGACTGTATTTCTACAAGGTGTTCAGATCTGTCTTTACTTCATTTTGATAGGATTCTAATAGTGGAATCACTTTTCTTTTTATAGGTAAAAAGATCATCAAAACAACTGTGACATCCTGGTAAAAAGTGAATATGGGATGAAGGCCATTTCATGCTAAATTGGAAATGGTGTTGGTTGGAGTTTCCTGCAAATTTCTAACTGACCCTATAATACAAAACCCATCTCAATTGTGCAGGAATTATGGACATATTAATCAGTAATCTGCTTCTTCAGAAGATTATTTTGAAACCAATTAGGAGTATGAACACAGGTACACACAAACACATACACATTCCCTAATGCACAGAGCTTTTATAGAGAACTCCTCAAAACTTTCTGCTAACTATCTCTATTTCTGCTGCATAGTCATTGCTTCTTTCATTGGTTATTCCTCAATTTACCAGCATTGCTTTAACGCAAGACTGCAACTTTGCTCAAGGTAGCAAAGGTTTTTTTTTTTTTTTTTTTGCCCATGATTCTTGCTCTGAGAAATAGAAACTTCACTTCTGGAAGTTTGTTTAGGGTTTGTGTTGCAATGCATTGTGGTTGAATCTCCTAAATCTGCTCCCAATTCAGAAAGCTCAAACTGCTCAAGGAGCTGCTGATACAGTTTTACAGAGGAATTATTGAGTCTGTCATCTGCACCTCTATAACTGTCTGGTTTGGTTCTGCAACCCAACAAGACAGACACAGACTTCAGAGGATAATTAGAACTTCAGAAAAAACAATTGCTACCAACCTGCCTTCCATTGAGGACCTGTATACTGCATGAGTCAAAAAGAGGGCTGTAAAAATATTTACAGACCCCTCACATCCTGGACATAAACTGTTTCAACTCCTACCCTCAAAACAACACTATAGAGCACTGCACACCAGAACAACTAGACTCAAGAACAGTTTTTTCCTGAATGCCATCACTTTGCTAAACAAATAATTCCCTCAACACTGTCAAACTAGTCACTAAGGCTGCATTACTATTAATCTTCTCATCGTTCCTATTACTCATCTCCTCCCACTTATGGCTGTATGACTGTAACCTTGTTGCTGGCATCCTTAAGATTTATATTGACTGATTCCCTATGACTATTATTAAGTGTTGTACCTTATGATTTTTGATGAATGTATCTTTTCTTTTATGTACACCGAGAGCGTATGCACCAAGACAAATTTCTTGTGTGTCCAATCACACTTGGCCAATAAAGAATTCTGTCCATATAAATTTAAGGAGTAGTGTAATGCTTCTATAGACTTTAAAGGAGGGCCTCACATGCTCTCCTTAGTCTATCCTTGAAAGTCTTTGTGTAATTCTTGCACTATTCCCTTGAACTTTGGATGCTTAGTTTAGTTCTTCCTACTACTTTATTTCCACCTCTTATAAGCATTTTTATAACAGAATAAGTGATGCTAATCAGCTTTGCAGAGTATCACTCTCCAAGTTTTAGTGTAGGATTTATGGAAATGCCTAACAAAATAGAATGACAACCCACATATCAAATAAAGGCATATTTGGCCAGCCAAGAATGTCCTCAAAAATGGAGCCAAACAAAATAGTTCTTACACACACGCTCAACTGAGATTTGCTGCATCCTTATTCATAACTACTAATGAATGCAATGCACAGAATCCACCATTCCATACATCATTTCTGGTTGCAGAGTAATAATGATGTCATTATAGAATCACAGGACAATGATGAAAATGATATATACTATGTTGAAAACATCACACCTGAATCTTCGAAATCACTATTGTAAGTATTCCATGTCTCACTGATGCGTAGCAGGCTCTCTTCCATAGCTTGAATATCCATATATGGACAGTTGCATTCTGGGAATTTGGACCCACACTGACACCAACAATCGTTGTCCTTGCAGATAAATTCTCCCTCTGAATTGCATGCAATGTAGCTCAGAGCTGCCTGCACAAACCTCTCTTGCAAATATTCGGGCAGGATAAGCTGAAGACCTTAATGGAAGAGGAAGAGAAGGAGAACAAGAAACAATTTATCTTAAAAAGTGAGATAGTTTTCTCAGAGCTTAACCAATTCTTTAGATTTAATTCTATCTACAATCAACATGTCCATAGAAGATGTTAGGTAACAGATTTAAAGGCAATCAAACAACTAACATATATAATTTTTTTATGACTTGTGACAAAGTCAAAGCCTCCTGGGGAAGAGAAGCATTTTTGCAATTGATTGCTAGAGGGGAACCTGGCAACTGGTTTTTAGTGAATCTATTGAAAAATGGCTCTACTAGGAAGAAAAATTATTCTCCACTTTTAAACACATAAAACCTATAGGGAGTCTTTTAAACAACATTAAACCTATGTACCAGTGGTGGCTTGCCCCCGGTTCGCACCAGTTCTATAGAACTGGTAGTAAAACCGGTGAGAGGCTCTGTCCACCGACCCCGACGTCATCAAAATGCTTCTGCGCATGCGAACCGGTAATAAAGGTAAGTAGAACCCACTCCTGCTATGTACCAAACAAAACTTCCTTAAGTAGCTTTATGTTACAGATTACTGACAATAGTGCAAGGTTCACTTCAAATCATTGTATTTGAAGTGTGAATTCCGCCCATGTTTATATTATTGATAAAATTACTTTTTTAAAAAATCTGCAGAACTATTTTGTTCAGGAATGATGCTCTTTTATTCATATTCCTATTGTTAATTCAAATGTAGCTTTTGATCAAGTTTCTTGAAAATCATTTCTGATCCACAGCATGGAAGATGTTTCCTCAGAATAATACCATGATGCTGGGGAGTTTATAGAACAATAGTAATTAATAAATATCAAAACCTATACATCAGGAATTCTACTTTTCAGTAGCATGGGAGTAGACTCAAGGAATCTCTTCCCACAAAAATGATTTGGTACCTGTGTGAAGGAGCATCCCTAATCCCAAGACTAAACGGAGGAAAAGAATGATCAAATCATTTTTGTTGTAGCCATACAGTATATGTTTCACTTAGCTATCCAATTTTAGGAAAGACTCACTAGAGAACTTCTCTTTCGTGAAGACTGTCAAAAAAGGAAATAGATTTTTGATATTGCTTTGACTGTGGAAAATGCACCCCCCCTTGGGTTTTGGCATCTAGGTACTTGCAGCAAAATTGATCACTGCAGTTAATAAACATTTTGGAACATTGTGAGAAGGCCCGGTATGTAGCCTATGCCAGGGATTTAATTATTTATATCCCACCTTTATCACTTTTATAAATAACTTAAGGCAAGATGCACATACATGAAAGCCAACTGGATGGCTTTGGGCCAGTCACTCTCCTTCAGTCCACCCACTTCATTAGTTTGTTGTGGGGAAAATTGGATGAGGAAGAAGCATTAGATATCTCACTACCTTGAGTTATTTACCAAGTAATAAAAGACGGATACAAACAATCTAATAAATTCATAGTGATTAAGAAATGTAGCTCATGGCAGACAATTTCAAAATAGAGCCAGAATATACCTGGGCATAATATTATACTATGACATTATTCTAAATTCAGGGTTATCATATGAAAAAAACATTGTTATATGTATTCTTATGGATTGCACCTCATATTTTGTCTTCTCTACATATTTCAATCGAAAAGGAAAGTTTGGCAAACCTGGCCTTATGATTTCTATCCTATTCTTATATTTCTCTGAATGTTAAGGTTATTCACACAGTTTCCATCCCTGCCTACTCTGTGCAAACATTACATGGAAATCAGGCAAAGGAAGCTCAAGTTTTGAATGATAAGTTGGTCAATGAATAAGTCCACTTGGACATGGGTACTATGCTTTATTGAAGGCTGACCCATCCAAAGAGACAGCAGACATGACTGCCAGGACAACAAAAAGCTAGAAGCACTTTGCTGATTTGAAAAACAGATGTTTAAGAATCTCGTCATACTTAATGGGGTCTAAACACAATATTCATTATTTGTTGTCTGAATATAGTTTTGTTGATCTTTGGAACGCTAATACAGCAATATATTTTGGCCCCGAAACAGGTTCATATTCTAATTCTTTTAACTCCTTCAAAACCATTATTTCTAATTATAATAATGCAACGTAGCTGAATGGGTAGAAATAATTGTATATGGTTTTTCTCACATATACCTCTCAGTTTCCAGGCCAAAAAACAAGAAGGAGTGGTTGGACACTATTTGACAGAATCCAATGTAAATTGCACAAGATTTGGTCATAGTGTTTAAAACTTTTTTTAGACTGGAACAAGCCAGTCTACTTACTCTTAGTGGATTGAGAGTGACATGAAAAAGCAACCATTTTTTATGTTTACATGCTTATTACATTCTTGTTTTTGTTGACATAGTTTGCAAATGTTTGTAGTGCATCTTGACCAAAGACCAAACAAATTAATGCATGAATTTTGGAGAAAGATGACTTGCTGAAAGATATATAATAAATATGCAATATTACACAGTACAATAAAATGTCTATTTAAAGGTATTGCCAGAAAAATATGAAAATAAACTTTGCGTTACTTTCACAAAATTTCGCAAAATACATTAAAATTGTTGTTTGTCAAGGCAATGATGACTATGATGTGAATTTTAAAAGACTGTTGTATATGTGACCATTTTGACATTAGAATTACAGTACAAAACAAGACTACGACTGATATAATATTTTTTAAAGCATTTTACTGATAAATATTACGTCGAGCATAGTGAGAACAGCATCTCAACAGCAAATAATTTCAATAAACACAATGGAGATATGAGTCCCAAAGAAAATGACAGGATCATCTACCGAAGTGTAATGCCCTAAAATATCAGGCATACAGTCGGATATTCAAAATTGGCTGTCCTATTCAGGGGTGGGTTCTACTTACCTTTACTACCGATTCGCAATGGGAACGTGTGTGCACTTCTGCGCATGCACAGATCATCAGCCTCCCGCCCAATGGTGAAATCCAAATATTTTTACTACCAGTTCTGTGGGCGTGGCTTGGTGGGCGTGGTGTGGTGTGGCTTGGTGGGCGTGGCAGGGGAAGGATACTGCAAAATCCCCATTCCCTCTCCACTCCTGGGGAAAGGATATTGCAAAATCTCCATTCCCACCCCACTCTGGAGCCAGCCAGAGGTGGTATTTACCAGTTTTCCGAACTACTCAAAATTTCCACTACCGGTTCTCCAGAACCTGTCAGAACCTGCTGGATTTCACCCCTGCTCCCGCCACTTTTACTACTGGTTCTAAAGAATCGGACAGAACCAGGAGCAAACCACCACTGGTCCTATTTCATGAGAAGAAAAGGGGAAATTTTGTGTTTCATCCATCAATTCAAACAAAAAATAGTTCCCACTGTCTATCCCAAGAGCTGGAAAATAAATTTCACATAAACCATATTTGGAACCCACTAAAAGTTCAACTAGCAGCTCACCATCTCTATTAGAAACCTATGCATATTGCTGCATTCTGGAGAAAGCATTATTTCATGTTTTACAGCAGACCTCATATGGTAGTAACTGATTGGCAGTGGCCTTCCTGACATCTTTTGTACATACTAAATAGTTCCCCCCCCCCCAAAAAAAAATAACAACAACAACAAAAATCCTCTGTTCTGACCATGAATAACCTTAATGGATTTTCTTAATCATGTTGAGGTATAACACGGATGTCAAACTTGCTGTGTCATGTTGCCCTCACATGATGTATAGTGACGTTTTTTCCCTTTATGCAGCTGGGGTGGGCATGGCCTGCTCATGACGCATCCGGCCCATAGGCCACCAGTTTGAAACCTCTGATATATATCATTGTATGAATTAATCTTTTTCTAACATACATTGTTAATGCTATTCTCATTTCTTAGAATTCTAGTCCTCCGCATTTTCTCTTCTTAAATATATATTTAGGTGGAATTCACTGACAATCTGAGGAATATTGTTTTTTCTCTACTCTTATTGGAAACCTTTAATTTCCCTTGAAACACTTTTCCTGTATTTGCCTTGAAGTTGGAGACAATTCTACTGCCAAATTTCTATAAAACCCCTGAAGGAAACTCAAAGAATGTTAATAAGATTAACACAAAGTCTCCGGATTTTTAATATCATCATTGGTTCCCTAAGCACCAGACAAGCAAAAATGTATTAAAAGTAAGAGACAAACAATGATTCCCCAGCCCAATTTTTATTGTAATGTGCTGGAGGATTTTTTTCTCTCCTTCTAATTATATACTGTATTAGCTTGATGAAATTTCTAGCAGTGACTTCCATTGCAGGACTACATATTGTTGAATTAGCAACACTAGCATAGTCCTTGAATATAGATATGAAAAACATTCAATGGCCAGTGGTATTTTTCTTTGTGATATGTAGTTAGAATTTTTAGTCAGATTGAGCAATACTTTGCTTTTCAAGAAATTTTAACAATTTTAAATAGATTGCCATATATAACAAAGAAATAGTCCAGCTCAATGTATTAGAACTCCATTAGGATCCTGTAATTCCTTAATTTAGGGTAGAGTCACCCTGACTGAATTGAGATGCCCAAAAAGGGTTTGGATTAGGGTTAGACCCTACATGGAGTTTGCAGCAGGTATTTTTTTCCTTTGTGCTCTAGGTCAGTGGTCCCCAACCTTTTTATCGCCGCGGCCCGCTGAGCGCGCGCAGGGCTGGGGGCACGGCCCAGGAGCTTTTGTGCACGGCCCATTGCGCACGGCCCAGGAGCCTTTGCGCTGCAGCGTTCATGTCCCCCGGCCGCTGCGCGGCCCGGTGCCAGGTACTCCACGGCCCGGCACCGGTCCGCGGACCGGGGGTTGGGGACCACTGCTCTAGGTGAGAGAAACATCTGCCGCTACCTAGGATTGAACTCTCAACCTTTTGAATGGAAGGCGAGCATCTTTACCACTAGGCCACCATGCTATTCATATCCAACACCCTGAATGTTTAGAATAATTCTATATATGAATTGGAGTACTATCAGATAGTATCCAAACTATATATTAAAGTAAAGAACATGGCTACAACAAATTTTTTGAACCTGATTTTTCCCCATATTTGAACAGAATCTTGATTTCTGTATACCTGCTGAAACCGTAGGGAAATGGAACATTTGAAATGATTCTCCACATGTACTCTTCAGGCATACTGTAAGTTTAATGACAATAGTCCTGTAAACATCTTCCTGTAAGAAGTTAACAAAATTCCGCCCACGTACCTTGCAACTGAATCTTATTTTCTGGACTCTGTACCAAAACAGAACTGACAGAATCTAGGTTGTCATAGTTACTGCAGCCAAGAGGACCAGTCCGGGTTTCTGTCACCTAGTGAGTAAAGGAATGGAAAACCATTTGTTGTATTATATAGAAAAGGCTAAATTTCCTTCCCAAAACATCTGGAACTTGAAGAAGTAGTGGTCATTGTAACCAATACACATGACATTATATTTCACCATGCAAACTTTCTTTCTTTCTTCTTTTTTTTTTTTTTAGTGTAGTATTCATCAATAGAAGAGTATTTCTGGTAGTGCTCAATTTTCTACAGATTAGAAATCAGCAAACCCTTGGGAAGTCAATTTTTATAAACCTGGGAGAAGAAACAACCCTTCTCAATTTTTGTGGAACTAATAATATGGAAAATAGTATGTCATGGGAGATTCCTGAGAAAGAAAAATAAATGTATTTAGTCATTTGTGCATAGATGAAAAAAATAGGTATCAGAAAAACCCTGACAACATTCTGCTTAAAATTATATTGTTGATTTACAATAAACTAGCTTCAAGGAAAGGAATGGAAGGAAGAGAGGGTCAAACTTCTGGATATAATATTAATATTCAAACTGGAAGCAGAGTTCTATGACTACTTTTTTATGTCATTTATAGGTTACTGATTCATCAATTACTATTCTTAAAGATGTGTATACCAATTTTTCTAGCATGCCAGATGAGACTGAAGACTAAAATACTGCAGTTTGATTTTAATTTTTTAAAGAAAATAATTTACTGAAAAAAAAGAGGTCTTTTTTTTCTGTATATTTTAGAAACTCAACTTTTTTGAAATTTGGTATTAATCCTACTGGAAGGCTTTAAGTATGTGTTATAGACTTTATTTCAGATCATACTGAAATCAGCGAGATAAAGATTAACCAGGAATAATTTGCCTCAATCACTATGACGGGATCCAAAACTCACTATTTTAATACAAATATTGGATATGATGGAGGATGAGTTAACCTAGGAAAAAAATAATATATTTCAAATTTGGCATAGATTCTGCCTCCTGTTGATTTGGGAAGTTTGAATTTGATAATTTTGTATTTGACCAACTTTTCCCTAGCTGGTTAGATAAAGAATCTTTTAATCAATTTCCATTGATTAAAAAGTGAATCTACTTGCAAAAATCTGTCGTCTCCCCATCCCTGCACTTTTAGGGAAATTCTGTATTTTACCTATAATTAAATTTATTTTGGCTAAGAACAGGTACAGCCCACAGTAATAAAGGTTAAGATGTGTTTATTAATTTTGAACAATGATGTGAGTGATCCTTATCACATATAGGCCAGGAGTGGGCTTCAAAAATTTTAGCAAGGGGTTCTCTGCCCAGTTGCTGGGTGGGGTGGCCTAGTTGGCCTCCTGCACCATGATGGGGGGGACGGGACATTTTTGCCCTCCCCGGGCTCTGGAGGCTTTCCTCGAGCCTCTGGGAGGGCAAAAACGGCCTCCCCATGTTCCAGAGTCCCTCTGGAGGGCTGAACATCTGGTAGGCCCATTTTTCGCCCTCCCCGAGCCTCCGCACATGCTCTGCACTTACCTGCATCCAAAACAGGCTGTGTGGGGACTCCTGGGAGGGGTGTGGTGGGGCCAATCAGGAGTGGGATTTGGGGGTTCTCTGAACTGCAAAGAAACTTAGCCAGAGGTTCTCCTGAACCCCTGAGAACCCCCAGCAGCCCACCCCTGATATAGGCTCCCAAAACATTGTTTGCATACTTGTTTTAAAATATTTTAAAATTATACAAGGTATGATGTGTACAAAGTACATAGAATTTTACATAAGACAATTAAAAGTTTAGATTGAGCAGGTTAAGCATCATAAATTACTTTGTCCAAATGTTTGTATATGTGTAATTCTGTTTTGAATTTATAGGTTCTCCTTTAAATTTATCTTTAACACTTGTTATTAATCAGGAGGGGGGCTGTAAGCAGATTGACAGATTTTTCTCAACATGAAATACTGGTCTAAAAAGCAGAACAATTTAATTATACACAGGTGGCATCAAGCATGTCAAAGAAAATAACTTTTCTCCATCCCACCTTTCTTCTTCTTTGATTGTTTTGGAAGTCTCTAAATGAAAAGAGTCTAACTACTTTTAGACAAGCAGATTTAGACAAATGGATTGAGGGGGGAAAAAAGGAAAAAGATAGTGTTGAAATAGTCTGTCTTTAAGGAGCTATATCAACTTGCCAGCTGAAAAATATAAGGACACCTGCAACTTTCAAAGAAGCATGATGAATATTCTATAGCATACAGTTTACGTCTCTTTATTAAATATGTGTAGCTACAGGCGATTACCTCCATTAACATATATTTCAAAGAAACATTGGTAAGGCTAAGGGGGATCATCAACATTTCATATAAACTAAAAGGTTCTCTAAACTGGTGTGCCATACTTCCTCTGTTCATATCAAGGAGAAAGATGGCATTTGGGAACAAAAGTCATTTCAATTTGGTTATTGTTAATATGTTTGAGAGAGTTGTTCCTCATCAAAACTAACAAATGAATAATACTTAAGCTAGTTGCTGGAAGATCCCTAGGTTTTTATGAAAAAAGATTGAAAATTACAACATTAGAATAATCAGCAATTCATTATTAGCTTCCCACCCCCCCATTAAAGCGAAGGCATTTTGCTTCTATATATATATGAGAAAAATAACATTTCTGGTGTGTAGAGCTCCAAGTTTGAACATTATACTCATTCAGTTTCTCCAACCTGGTATCTACCATTATGATGGGCAGAACTCTCCAAACTAAGAAATCAAAAGGCAGTGCTGAAATATATTTTAACATTTTGTGCACATAGCTACTCTTCTTTGCCTCCAACCTTGTTACAAAGGAGACTGAAAACATTTGCTTTTATTTGCAACTAGCTGCAATTTGTCAATAATGCCCTACATGGGAATTGTGATTAATTTTAATGCTGATGTATTATTTCCCCAAGCCAAGATAAGGCATCACAAGCTGAAATGAGCCAAATTGAAGACTAAGCGTTTCTTTATTTTTTTTTAGATTAACACAGATAACAATTTGTTGATTGAGAAAGAGTAAACAGTGGAAAGGAGTGACAGAAAGGCATGAGGTGAATCTCATTAATTTTGCACTAAATCTATTTAATCATATGTCCAAATTCAGCCAAAGTCTGATGATTCTTCTTGCATATCTTAAATAAATAAATCAATATTTAATATATCAGTGAACAATGCCTTGATACTTTGCTGTCATAGAAAAGAAGTGATATCACTCGTGCAAATATAATTAAAAATGTTTGAATATCATGTTTTTCTGTTTTTACAAAAGAAACAAATCACATATAACAGTCTTGACCAAGCCAATGAATTTGCTTTGCTGATTAAAGCCAAATATTCATATACAACAACGCTTAGTATTTAACAGAAGAGCTAGTCAAAAACTTCTGGGAATGATGGCAATCGTCACTTTTGGATTTATCTGTTGATTGTGTTGGATTAATTGAAACTTTAGTTTGATCCCGCAAGGAGGGTCACAGAAATATCCCTCACACATTTTCATACAAGAGTCATTTGGTTTTAATGCACTATGAATGCATAATGTTGCTTTATAATGAAGATGTACGGGAGCACATTTACAGTTTCCATTTATTCTCATTATATCTTGTAACATCTGACGTAACTAAAGAATGATAACTAGGTTAACCATTAAATGCTATGTTTTTTTGCATGTTTATGTTTGTCCTTCATCTGGACATGAGGAGGAGGAGAAAGAGGAGGAATGACTTTGAATCAGAGAAGAGAAAAATGGCTCTGAACTATGTTTGTGATAAGAGTACTGCAGAGAAAGTAAATATGTTTTTTGTTTATTTTCCATCTAGATTCCAGCAATCTACTAGGGTTGCTGTTCAGTTCCAGTCTTTGAAATGATAGGGACTTTGCAAGAACATGTCTCTTTGTCAGGCTTCATGGGTAAACCACAAAGAAAGCAAGAAAGAAAGATGAGTTAAGACTACTTTATTGTAAGGCTACATTAACAGAATCTTTTAAGTCTGATAGTACAAAAACTCTCTCTCTCTTTCTCTATGTAATCCTCGACTTACAATCATTTGTTTAATGACCATTCATTAAAAAATACACAGAGTAAAATAAAGCAATATAAATATAAAAAATATATGTATGTATGTATGTATGTATGTATGTATGTATGTATGTATGTAATTCTTTACATACAACCGTTTTTTTAATGACCATTCAAAGTTACAATTGCACTGAAAAGCAAAATAAAAACTGGACTCATTACAGTTTCAATTCCTATTCCCTTAAGTCTCTTTGAATACACTTAAGACCTCTGTCTAACTAAACCTAAAACCAGGCTGTAGAAACATAATCAAAGTTCTCCCTGTTCAAATAATGCTACCATTTCATTTAAAGGAATGCCCAAAGCAAATAGGCGGCACATATTTACTCATAGCTCTTGCTATTCATGTTCTTTTTCTGGATGCATTAGTACAGCTCCTCTTTCAGTGATCTCATTTTATGCTGTCCTGCCTATTTTTCCAGAGCTGTGATCCTTTGTACATTATCCCATTAACCATCTCAAAGTGAACTCACATTTAGATTGCTACATTGCAGCTGGTAATAATTTAATAACTTATTCTTTTGCTCCTTCTCGACTGCTAAGCCAAGAGGGAACTGTCTGATGGCTTTCATTTCAGAAACCACTCAACCTTTACCCTTAAATTTGTCCTTCTATCTTTCCTTTCATGTATTAAATTTTCTTGTGATTTCCCTTATACTGAAAATACCACACTCTTCTCTGTAAGGTGCTGATCTATTCATTTTCTATGCTACACATTGCTTATCCAAGTCATCTTTTTCTTTGTTAACCACTTTCTTTAAATAAAAAGAGAAATATATTTTCTTAAATATTAACTGAGTGCCAAAATGCTAACATATGAGGGATGAGAAGCTTTCCCCAGATCCATCTGTTTTTATGAAAAGTGATTCTTATATTACCAGACCTTCCACTATTAATAATTCTACATACTTGTGCAGATCTATTTGAAGAACTGTGTGCATAT